GCTTACAGTGTGAGAGAAAGGGCTGCAGTCTACAGAGACATGCTGAAGGCAGGTGACTCCAGGGGTCTCCGTGGAGAAGCTCATCAGCAGAATGGAGCAGTGGATGCTATGAACTACAGCCTGGTGAGGGACTCCAGTTCAGACATCCTCTGGAGAGAGAGCTTAGCCAAACTTCATTTTTAGGAAGAGCCAACTGAACCTGGGACTCAGAGCAGCTGTGGGTTGGCTCCTTCTCAAGGACCCCAGCAACTGGGTGATGCACAATCGTGGGAGACATCCAGGGTCAGGAGGCCAAGGGTAAGCCAGGGAGAGTCACTTAAGAGTGTTGCAGGCAGAACAACGCAAGCTCCACCCAAACCACCAGAGGATAGGATTAAGCTGGATATCTGTAACACTGAAAGCACCACAATCAACACTCTACAGGCTTCCTGCAATTATCCAGTAGCCTGCCCTGACTGTATGGCAGACTTACTGGGATCATTCACAACGGATCTGGCTCTGAGACACACATTGATTTGGACACTACTACATAAAACTATAGATGCCAGAAGATAACCAGAGACCTGAAATCACAGAAAAATCTTTCTCTTTGCTTTTACTCTTTTTTTTTTCTTGAATATTTAATTTTTTTTCATGGAAGATGAAGGTTATTATTAGGGTTTTTTTTTTTGTTGTTTAGTTCTTATTCTTTTATCCCTGTCCTCTTCACTAGTTTCTTAAATCTTAATCTTACTTTGTCCTTGTTTATGTATTTCCCTTATATCTTGTATTTTTTTTTTTCACTCTCATCTCTTTTAATTTTCTCCTGAGGGTAAACTCTTTTTTTTTTTTTTTTCGGAGCCATGGATTGAACTCAGGGCCTTGCGCTTGCAAGTGCTTATTCAACTGAGCTATTTCCCCGGCCCCAAAACTTTCTCTATTGAGGGAAGTATTTACTTTATATAAGTTTCTGATTTTAGAATTTGTTATATAACTAGAAACCTTGTAACTATGGTTTAAAGTGGCAAATTAATATTTACCTCAGTTTATCTCCCAGATTGTACTTGATGCTATTATTACTGATTATACTTTTCCCCCCCAAGGTGTCATGACTGTTCTAATCAATTCTTCATCCTTGTATACCAAGACTGAGACTGACTTAAGGCCAGTGCCAAAGAACCATAGACTAGACAAAGAGGCAATAATATCTCATTCCCAGTGAACTGGATAGGTAGGCTCTTGAAACAGACTCAAAACTCAAAAGCCAGATACACCTGGAAGACATCTCTGAGAAGTAGTCATTTCCTGAAGAGGTCTCAAATCCAGTAACAAAGCTATATACTATAAGGAAGTGACAAGCACCAATGCAGAAAACAAATTAAAAAAATAGAAAATGAGAAGACACAGGAGGAAGATTTCAGGCTTCCAGTTTGTCAAAGGCAAACCCAGGGTGCAATGAAATGAAACAATTTAAAAGCCATCCACCTGGACTCCCTCAAGTGGCAGGTGTGGAAGTAACAATGCAGATGAATGAGGCCCTAGAATAAGGACCAGAAATTTCTCAGATAAGTTCAGAGATGATGACCATAATGAAATGCATGATTAGTGAATGTATAGAAGATAAAGAAGATAGAGGCACTTAGGAAAATGATGGAAACCAAGAATGCCCAACACAGGAAAGGGAATCCATGCAGCAGATTCAATCAGATATCCAGATCAAAAATTTTATTGAAAATATATGCAGCAAAATTGACTGATGTGGGGGTATAAGTATCAGATCTAGAAGCTAGTTATGCAGCTAGTGAACATCAAATGAAAGACCTCTTGAAAATAGCAAGGGGCCACAAAAAAATCAATTCAATAGCTGTTAGATGATAACAAAGTATAACATAAGATTGATTGGAGTCAATGAAAAAAAAAGAGGGAGACAGGTTCAAACACTGCCTGGACAGCCTTGTGAGACCCTGTTTCAAAATAAAGAGTAAAAAAGTCTTGGGATACAGCTCAGTGATTTAGCCCTCTTCAACCTGTTCTTCCCAGGACTGAAAAAAAAAAAAAAAGGTACAAACCAGTCCTACTTACATTGCCATAGCAAAAGACAGAAATGGGGGTCCAGATGAGTTAATTACTGCTAGAACAAAAACAAAACCCCTAAAGAATGGAATCCAGCGTCTCTACCATGACTGATTCCCAGTGTCTTACATATGATAAAACATTACTAAACCTATGGATGTTTGTGGTCCCTTTATTCCTCAAACTGGAAATTTCAAAAGGAAAATGGAAAGAAAATGAAAATCACTATTAAAATGAACTACCTAATCAGCCATGAAAATGAATGAATCACTGATACACAGCAGGATGACTCTAGAAGATGGGATGAATGAAAACACATAAACTCAAAAACGTATATAACTATGTATGTGATGTTCAGGAAAAGGCATACAGGTATGGGGGGAAAGAAAGAATCTATTTCCACTAGAAAGAATCTATTTCCTAAAAACATGTGCTTGTTAAGAACTATGAAGGAGCTCAGATTTTACCCAACACTCTAGATAGCAAAATAACAAGGTTATCTATCTCTGGGTTATGGGTGTTAGCTGTGATAATTAACTATGGTGTCAATGAGGGTAACAAGCACTTGGCTGACTGGCTTAGAACAGGTCTGAATATGCCTCGATGACTGGCTTAGCTAAAATGGAAGATGCACTCTGGGTGTGTGTGGTGTTAATCAAGAGGCTTGGCTTGTAGCCTGGATGGACTAAAGAGGGAAAGAGAAATATTTCATTTCTGCTTCTTCTGGAGGCCCCCCATCTTTGCCAAGATGTGTGGGTGTTCTTCCGCAGGCCTCCAACACAGATTTTGCAGCTTTCCAGCACACATCCTTTAGTTTCCTACAGTGGCCTCACACAGGACTCTCCAATGATCTCCAGGCCTTTAACTTTTGACGATGGCTTTCTCATTCTTCTACACTTGACTCTGCAGGTGACCATGGCAAGCCTACCTCGATAGGATTCCTGAGGTGAACCCTAATTGGCACACTGGCAGAAGACACAAAACTCAAAGGACTTTATTATTTACAGCACAACAGATAAGGGGAGTTTCATGCATTCCCTATTCTAGGGGTGATAAGGGGAGCCCAAGTGAATGCTGTGTATGTAGCAAGTTTGTGTCAGAACTGTACAACACCAACCTTAGGGAACATAAGTGTGTGTGTTACTGGAGACTGATTCCAGGGACTTGACACTGAGCTATATCCTCAACCCTTTACTTATTTTTGAGTCAGGTTTTCACTTAAGTTGTCATGCCTGGGCTGGAACTCTAAGTCCTCTCATCACTCTCCAGAATGCTGAAATTTCAGGGATGGCCATTAAGCCTGGCACAGGAACTTCTTTTGTAAAAAGCAGTAAGTCTGTTAAGAACTTTGCCATGGAAGAGGAAATTAAGTTTACTGCACTAAACAGGAAACCTACCTTTTGCTGTAAAGAGAGATACTTTCTAAACTGTGCACTATTAAGTACCTTTGAAGAGACAGAATCTTCATTTGAACAACCAGGAACAGTCTTCAACAGTGGGTTATGTGAATCCTGCATTTGTCAGTTACTGAATAATGGTCATGTATGCCTGTAGACCCAGCTACTGAGGAGCCTGAGCAGAAGGCTCACAAGTTTTGAGTCCAGCTTGAGCAACTTAGCCAGACCCTGTCTCAAAATAAATTTTAAAAGGGCTGAGGACATAGTTTGGTGGTACAGTGCTTGCTTGTCTGACATGCATGAAGCGCTGAGGTCAATCCCTAGCATTATAGAAACAATGACTGAATCTTACATAAAAAGAACTAGGCATGGGAAAATGAAGGATGGCAGTAAAAGCAGTTTCTTTCATTTTTTGTGAATCCTTTAAAATGGACAAGTATGGAGGAAGCCAGCCTGCCTTCCTCGAGTGGAGGCTGACCCACGGTCCCCAGCACACTATTCCTTCAGAATACACCACGCTAGGCTACATAGAGATTAGGGAGCTATCTTCTTACTTCTCATTACTGCATCTTTTGCACACTGCACACAGCTCCTCACTGCTTTATTTGTTGAATACACTTGTAAAAGCAAGGTCAGGAAACAGAAGCGATGCTTCGACCCTCAAGGCACAGTCATCTTCCTCATCTTGCTGCTGGCTCTTGCTTTCCCTTCTGCTCCGTTATCTTTTCCTCACCTTCCTCTTCCCTCTCTTACGAGGTCACAGAATGGAGTGAAATCATCCCTCCAGCGCATGTGTTATTTAAAGGATAAAATTTATAACACTTTGTTCTTAAAAAACTGGTGAATGAAAGTGAGGTCAATGAATCATGCTTCCTGAATATGAATACCAGCTATGACTTACTCGTGCCCTGGCATTTCCCTGTGTCTCCTGGTGTAATTGCACGGCCTACTCAGATGGCTAAATAGGAAAATACTTTCTAGTGACTTAGCACAGCAGTGATACAGTAACAAATGTTACATGTCACTTAAAAATCACTGATTTGGCTATGGCTTCTGAATCAGGCAGTAACAGGACTACACAAAACAACACAGTCATGAAATAAAATCAGAATTTTAAATATCAGCCTAGTAAACGAGACTTGGGTTTGAGAAACAAATACATGCTGGCTTCTTTTTCAAGCTCACTCTAGCTTCAACACATCTTCAAGCACTATAAGTGACCTGGCATCCTGCTTGCTTTCACTAACAGCAGTATTATTTCCAGGCGATCTTGTAGTTTTGGAAAGATGTGTTGTTGCACAATATTTTGGTGTGCTTGTGTGCAGTATTTTTTTTTTTTTTAACCAATGAATGTAAAACATTTAACTTAAAGATGTTCATACAATACACAAAACAGTTAGCCTAAATGCACGAGGTCTTCCATAGCTGCTAGGATTACCTTTTCTTAAGACAGTTACACCGCAGTTAAGACTTGCATGTTCCTCCTTCAGGCAGTCCACTTTCCATGACAGTGATATATGGCAAGACTTCCCCAGTTGTTCAACACTTGGATCAAGATATGACCAGTTTTATTGAAAAAGGACCCTGTATACATTTATCAATTCTGTTACCTTCACAGCCACCCAATGAGTGGAAGGCAGAATGACTCAAGTACAAATGCAACATATTAGAGACAATTTCTTACAAAAAAAGATAACTATCCATCATCAATTAGATTATTTTAGTGCCATGACTGTTTCTTCCTTTTGACACAAGGTTTAATTTAGCATGTTTTTCTCTTGCCTTTTTGTCATTACAATGCTTGCTGCCCCGTGGTGGAGAGGACAGCGGGTGCTCTAGAGAGTTCCTTGCCATCTATGACTGGGAAGAATACCAAAAGCATTTTATAGAATTTACCCTACATTCAAAATGCCATAAAAATTGCCTTTGGTTAAGTTCTCTCCCTGTATCCATTGATCAGCTGGATGTCTTTGGGCATCAAGGTGACTTTCTTGGTGTGGTCAGCACAGACTGGGATCTTCAAGTAACCACCAGGTATGCTTCACTAGCCCCCTGAAGGCCCAGGGGCTGCACTCTAAAACCTCAAGTCGGTTTGAAATTCCAGGCAATCTCTCTACCAAGCTCTGGAAAGGCAGCTTCTGGATGACAAGCTTGGCTGACTTCTCGCAAGGACAAATCTGGAAGCCTTGTGGTACCAGACATGAAGTGGCTTCTTCACCCTGCAGCACTCTCAGGGAGGCTTTAGTGGTCAGCTGGTTGCACTTGAGGTGGGTGGGGAGTCCCACCAGGGTACTTATTTTTCTTTTACTCAATACTGAAACCTTAGTTCACTTCTCTGATTGCTGTGCAGCACTCAAGTGAAGTGCCCTAGTTGCCAAGAACAAAAATAATACCTTCCCCCAAAACTACCAAACCACTCTGCCACATGGGGTGTTTCTGCAATCTTCCTTTTAGCCACTGATATTTAGTACTGTTCAATATTTGGTGACTGTGACCCTGGGGGAAATGTTACTTCATCTCTATCTGCTTGTTTACAAAACATTATTTCTAGGCTAGATGCATTCTAACTTTACAGGACTTGCTAGTATGTGATACCCTGGGTTTGTTCTTTAGCAGTACCAAAATAAAAAAAGTAGTACTTACCTCAGAAGGCTTTGAAATGTATGTAAAGCAACTAGCCAGTGCCTGATAAAGAAATAACAAGGGCTCAATAAATTTAGCTATTAAAAAGCAATTTGAAACTGAGGTTGAATCCAAACCAGAATGCTGTATCAAGCTTATCATTTGCTCTGGAGGTTTTTGTTTAGTGTGAAGCTGCACAGTCCCTTCACGGAAATCTTAATAGGCACAATATATACAGTGACGAAGGCAGCTCTGATCTGTGTGACACAGGAGAACCTCTCTGTAAGTTCATGAGACCTCACTGGGTTCCAAAGAGCAGCTCAATACTGACTATCCACCATCGATTAGATGATTTTAGTGCCATGACTGTTTCTGCCTTCTGACACAAGGTTTAATTTAGCATGTTTCTCTCTTGCCTTCTTGTCGTTACAATGCCTGCTGCCCCGCGGTGGAGAGGACAGCGGGTGCTCAGTAGCCGTCCTTGCCATTTATGACTGGCAAGAACACACGCTTTTTCTCCTAAAAGGACATTGCTCTTCTCCCACGATGCAGACCAGCCTGTCTCACCAGTATCATGCTGGGTTAGCTTTACTCATTGAGAAACAAAAACTCTAATTGTGTTGTAAGATAAATATTTGAAATGCATAAGTCACAGAATAGAGATAAAAAATGAATACAAGATCACCATTCAGATCAAGAAAGATAAGATCTTATTCTAACCTCCTCTCCTGGTGAGCAGATTCCCCTATTTCATGTTTCCCAAAGGTGCTCTTGAGTTCTTCTTAAAAGAAGGTCAAACAGCACATTTTCTTTTTGTTGTCTGGTTCCTTTTGCTCAGGATGTTTCGAAGATTCCTTCAAACTGAAGGAAAACTTAGCTCACCTGCTTGCTACAGACAGCAACCCTTTGCAGGTACCCATCCTGTTCATGGACAACAGAGCTTAACACGGAAGTTTATGAATAATGTGAAGAATATGCTATATGTCTTTGGATAAATACTCATACACATCTCTGTTGGATTCACGCTTAGAAAAAGGACTGCTGA